GGTAGGAAAGGATAACAACTCCTAGCCTGCCTGTTTAGGCACATGCCATTTTCCAATTAAAGGTGGCCATCTGTTCAGACATTCTTCTAACAATGTCATTACTGTGTGTAATTTTAGCTCTAATACAAACCATCAAAATTCAATCATTCTCTCGTCTCAAAGATATGAGTATCTCTCCGTTACTTTTGAGGTGATTTATTAAAATCAAGATTCAGTCCCCTTGGTTTAGGATAAGTGAATTGCCCTTCCTGGTGCTCTCGTGCCACTGGAACTCCCCCATGACAAGGTGGGTGTGCTGGTGCTTGTGCAGTCCTATGTAATGTATGGCCCAGGTCTACGTGAGCAGATAAGGGAAATATGGCTTTGTAAGGGTGAAGAACTGAGTCTGGAATGGGCCATATGCTATGTTCCTTCCCCTAAAGAAGGACTTCCATGGATGTGCTCCCAGAGTTTCCCCAACAGGTCTGCGGTATCTTTGGATTTTATCTGTCATTTGGGCCTCAGTATAGCACAGCTGTTTGTACCTGTGTCCTTGAATTTTAAAATAAAAACCCTCCAAAACCTTAGGAGCATTTAATTTGCTTTATTCTGGGGTCTCATTTGGGGGGGATTCTTCTATTCCTCATTCATATTAGTGAAGAAGATTTCAAATGTCCCAGTGACACTCTGCCACCAGCTGAAATCACGGTGAAAGCAGCAGCCCACGATGATTTTGCTGTCCGCAAAGCCAGAGCAAACAAAAAGGCTGGTAGCCCCAAGCAGAAGTTTGTGCATTTTGGTCCAGTAACTGAGATTGATCAACAGAAATGGGACAAGCTCATTATTGGCAGAGCTTCATCCAAGAGCGGAACAGAAGAGGAAAGCAAGAAAGATGGTGTGAAGAGTCACTGTGGTGTTGAAAGCTCTCCTTCAACCACTGCTGGCAGTCTTGGGTTTGCTGAACACAGTGATGGAGTATCTAAGCCACAGAACGAGTCCAGGTATTTGGTGTGGCTTAGGAAGCGTTGCTGAGCTGGAAATGAGACCTGTTCTTGCCAGATGCTGATCTGCATGGGGGTGGTCTGCAGCGTAGACCTAAGAGCTGTTTATGCGCACGGCCTTGTTCAGAAGTCATCTGACGCCTTCACAGTATCTTAACATGTTTAGGGTTACGCAAAACAATGCTGTGCAAAGGTCTTCTGAGAGCTTGCCTCAGAATTTCTGATGAGTGGTGAAATCACTGGCATCTCAGAGTCTGAGCTGTCATTTGAGCTTTTTCTGCTTCTTGAATTCCAGCGGCTTTGCTCTGCCTGCTTTCAGCGCGGTAGGAGTTTGTCCTTCAGCTTGCTGGCCTTACTATTGTTCAAAAAATGCCTTCTTTAAAGCTAGTGGATTTATTTTCTTTTTGAAGATGTAATGCTGAAACCAAGGTATATTGGTGCTCTGTGTTTCTGGCATTTATCTGGAGGAGAATTACAGCTCTGGGAAGTTAACATATTAACAGAGCTTACATTTATTTGGCTTTTCTTTAATTGCTTAGTCTGTGGCAGTAGCAAGAATTTTTAATGAATGCTTTTAGCAAGCAATTCATTGAGTTAAGTTTGTGTGTTTATAAAACATTTGCAAACTGAGTTGGAGGACTCCTCTTCTTACCTTTCATTTGACCTGAGAATGTTTTGTCTATCTCACCCCTCCTCTCAATCGCATCACTAGTGGGGTAGCCAAGTCAGGTACAGATGACTCTTGCAGGAGAATGCTATCACCTGTCCCGGCTTTTGGCATCGTCTCTGAGAAACAAATCCTGTGCAGTTTGAACAAACAGCAAGAAAGCACCGAGGAAGACTGCGTTGGGCATTTACCAGACATTGAGAGAGATGATATGTTGGTTAGAAGGATGGGAACTTTTCAGAGGCGTACCACTAGCCCCGTTCCCGTACATTGTCCTCTCCTGTCAGTAGCTCCTCATCTGCTGCAGCAGCGGCAAGGGGAGGCAGTAGCTCGTGAGAAGGATTTGAAGACTCCACGGGAAGCAGAAAGGTCAGAGAACAGAAACAGATCCCTCTGAGCCTCGTGCCTGGTTTGTGTGTGGTGTTAGCTTGGATCAGCCAGCAATGTTGTTCCGTTCTTCACACGGCCTTTAAAGATGTGTTTTACTCATTCATCATGGCATGTGTTCTGTTTTATGAAATTACTTACAAGAATGTATCCTATGAACATAAAACAGTCTGTTTTCTTTAATAATATTTAAGCACTTCAGTTGTTAATTTCTGTTCAGCATGAAAACAGTCTTTCATCTTTTGGGGGGATTTCTTTTGTAATCCATGGTGCTTTATCCAGACTTTTATGCCAGCTTCCAAGTGAATAATTCCTCGCATTCATTTTTATGCAATCCCCAACTTCTAATGTATCACCTACATAAGTATGGCATTCAACATAGTTTCCTCTTGCTCTCACTCCCTGTGCTGTAGCTAAAGATGCCTACTTGTGCATCACTGCAACTGTGTTTTGAATAAGAGTACCCCATGTTGCCTCAGCAGCCGTTTGCCTTTGGGCTGCACAAGTGAGCCTTATCATGGAACAGTGTCACTTGTTTCTCTGAGCAGTACTGTCACACGAGAAGAGAGCCAAGAACAGCTCGAAATCGCTCAGCAGCAGAGCGGTGGAACAGAAAACAAAGCGAAATTTCCAGACCCACAAAGAGATGACATGTTGGCCAGAAGAACTGGCGCTTTCCTAAAACAGCCTGGGCCCAGTGCTAAGCAGTTCCTTCCCATGCCATTTTCAAAGCAGCAGAATAAGCAGGGCACAGCTAGAGAACTTGAGAAGAAAACTACAAGGTAAGAAAGTTGTGCTTCTTTCTTTCCCTTGCAACTGGCCCTGTGGGCTGTTTGTCAAGATCGCTTGATCTGGAAGAGTTGCTGTTGGCCCAGCGGCAGTTTCTTCCATACTTGTCCTCAGTTCTGTGCCGACTCTTTCTGCTCAAAAGAAGGCAATGCAGGGTTTCTGGCCTTTTTGGTAGAGCCCTGTAAAGACTTGGAGCAGAGCTCTACCAGGTGCAAAATTCTAACAGTCTGTGGAAATGGATATGCATAGCAAGATTGTGTCACATTTGCAGAGGTTTCTGGTTAAATATGAGCTAATCATTCCAAATGTTTCCAGGTAGAAATAGAGGTGCGGGTATGTAAGGTTAGATGCTTGTCTATGGCTTAGCTGGTGCCAGTGACTTCCAAACAGGAAATCTAGAGATCCCGAGATCCCTCCTGATAATGCTCGATGTCTTTCTAAGCACCTTTGTTCAGATGCTTGAGGCTATGTGGGGAAGTTGGTGATTTAAGCCTTTGAACAGAGTTATCGTTGACTGGTTGAGCCACATGCAAGCGGGAGTGGAAAGGTTCTTATTCATCAGCCTTTTCAAAGTACATGAGGAGAAGGATATGCATGTGCCTGTGCATACACAGGTGAAAAACTAGTGTACAGCTCAGCCAGAAGAAGAAAAACTGTCATCTACTGTAGAATTGAACTGTGGTTTGGTGTTGAGAAGACCTAAGGTTGATAGCTTAGTTAATATATGTACTTAATACTTTAATCTTTGGCAGTGTCCAGGACAGCTTGTGTTTCTGACTTAGAGGAATGGAAGTACAAGCATTTTACTCTCTATTAAAATTATGTTTTCTGTACCTGCCTTACTTAACTTGTTAGCTATCAGCTATTTGGGTTTGTGGGGGTTTTTTTGTTAACTTACAGTTATACTTTTCATTACATATATGTGATTTTTCAAATGTTGCTTAATACGTCTCTTTACAATGCTGCCTTTGGCTCACTCAGGCCTGAAGAATGTCCCCAAGTCTGCATTAATAGCTCTGGAAAACCTGTAATACAACTGCCGCAAGAACAGCAGCAAGGACAGGAAAAATGCAATCTCCCTCCTGCAGGACAAGATGAGACTATTTGTACTGCCCAAGGGGGTGAAGGTAGTCTTAATGAAGTCCACCTTGGTCAAACGTCTAAGCTTCAAGAGATTCCTGAGGAAAACGAAACGGAAACATTGTCATCCAAGGATGAGCACCTGCAAACGTGAGCTCTCTATGGTGTGAATCAAGCAGCTTGTTACGCCCCTGTGTGCACACTTCAGAATTCAGATTGTGCGTTGCCTGGTGTGTTTTCAGTCCAGACTAAAATACTGTATGTCTAAAAATACACTTTTTAGAAACAAACAGAATAGTTGTGTAATGTATTTTCTTTTGAAATATTTGAAATATTGAAATGAATGCTAATTGAAAGGAAATATTTGATTACAGTATATATGTTGAATTGCAAAAAAGGTTTATGAATAGCAGAAGTTCAGCTGGACTCTGCTCATTTAGAGATGTGTATCTTGCTTCTCCTTGATTAGAAAATGTTGCAGTGTCGACTTTTGTACTTGATGTTCTTTTATGATAAATCCCAGATACAAATACGTGGTTTGCATGGCTTTAAACAACACTGTCACTTTAGTGAATGACACTGACTTGTGTATTACCAGTACCTTTTTTCAGCTACACCCCCAAAAAAACCCCACAACAACAACAACAACAACAGGAAATCCTGTGGCTCACTTTCTGCCTATAGTATTTGTCTCTTCAGTGCTTCAGTAATGGTGATTCTGAGCACTGCTGAGGAATGTAACTGTTAAGTTTTGTCTCCATTCATCGCATGTGTGGCACTTAATGTTAATATATTGTCTATTTTCAATAACTATTTTCTACACCCATTTTAGGTATACCTCAGCAGATTTTTATAATGGGGGCATTAGTATGGCGTCAGGGAGGGATGGGTGGTATTCTTGTGTAGTTTGACCTCCAGATGATTAGGTAAGTCTTGTTTGCTGAGTACAAAATCCCTGAACGGTATGATTCTTTTTTGGTCAGCTTTACTAGTACAGGTTGGATGGTGAAGTGGCAGTTACCCAAATTGTATGGGTCCAGTTGCAATTGCTACTTAATGTATTTATCAACGCTCTAATTTTATATTTGGTCTTGTAGATTCGGCCCCAGAACTGCTGTGTCTGATGACGCAGAGTAAGTTGTCTTGTGTTCGCAAGATTCTATTTTAAACAACTTACACTGCATGCTTTCCCGTCTTTCTACTAATTTAAAATGCAGTTGATGCCTCATTATTATTTTGCAGTGTTCCAGCAAATAAATTTTTCAGAAAAGCACTGAAAAATGGAATGCAATATGGCTTACATTGCAGCTAAAAATAATTTTTATATAAAAGCCCATAAAAACTGAGCGTAACACTGATGTCCAGCTGTTGCTTCAAGTATTGTTTCCTCTTTTTTCTTTTCTTTTTTTTTCTTCTTTTGTTTTGTTTTGTTTTGTTTTGTTTTTCTTCTGAATTTCCATTGCCTCTAATCGACTACAGGTAAAGAGAGTTGGGTTGAATCTGGGCTGGGTGTTGAGGAAAAAAATGAAGTATGACCTATACAGGAAGAAAAAATAAATCCCAAAGTAAAATAAAATCCATTGTGATCTTCAGAATAATTACCAGGAAAATACATCTTCAGCTGTTCCTTTGTTGTCTTTTAAAAACTTTCTCTTGAATCCCTTCTAGGTTGGGTTTAATTTAATAATGTACTAAACTTCATTTTTTTTAAGCTCTTCACCTCGATACTTTACTTTTGGCAGAAGGAATAGGACTGTGACATTTATTGCACTCAAACATACTTTAATTGTGTGTGTATGCATGTAAACTGTAGTTCAGAATAGTATGCAATGTCATTTAGAAAACTCTGTGAAAGTATTAGCTATTCTTACAAAGTGCAGGCATTTAGAAGCAAAGAAATAGTTGGGAACTACCCACATAGTAATGTCCTTATTATCCTTCTTCTGTTCACCGAAATGCACATGACCTTCTCTGTCTCCCAGATTAAATCACAAAATAGAAACAGCATGGAGGGTTTTTTTATAACAAGTATATACAGAGACTCTCATATAATTTTTCACCCTTTCCTCTAATGATAAAGGCTAGAATCGCAGACTGAATATTCTTTACAAGATCTGTAATACCTTTATGCTGAGCAAAGCCTGTGTTCTCTGACCACAAAGTAAATGTGATCATTTTCAAGCAGCAGAAATCTGTTCAATCAAATGAAGAGATGAGATTAAAAGAGAGTAACAACACAGAAGTGTTATACTTAACAATAGAGACTTCCCTGCCATTTCAGAAGGTCTACCTATCCGATTGATTTGTTCATTTGTTTTCCCACATTTTTGCATGTCTGTATTAAATGCAAACATGACAGAAGGTACACGGAGATGCCTTCAAAGAGGCATTGCAGTGTGTTTGGTTGTATAATGTGAGAGTAGCAAAGAGGAATAAATCATACTGTTTATTCCACATTGATTCTGATTTTGTTCTAAAAGCCAAAACAATAAATGTTCAAGCCTCATTGTCATCCTTTCCAGATGTGCCACAGTTTCAGAGCAACTATTTTCCTAAACTGTCTTTTAAGTTCTTATAAACATAAGATTGTGTTTTTCCTTCTGAAGATGAAGTACTTACGAAGAATCTAATAAAATCTGGCTCTCAAGTAGGAAAAATAAATTGAACTGACATTTAAAATGCTTCCAAAATGTTTGTCAAGTCTCCTTTGAAAACTCTGTAACTTGAATTCAGTTTTAGACTAGGTGCTGTTTATTCCAGCAGCAAAACTAGAAACTCCTTTATTAGACTGACAAAGTTCCCTTCGCTGGTTAGTGAATGCTAGATATTGTCATTAGCCCTGGTCTGTCTCAAGGTCCAGAAGAGGCAATACTTAGTGTGTGCTGCTGCTCAGCCCCATTCCCATCTCCCGAAAAGATGGGGCTGAATTCAGGTGGTAGTGTGACAGTCAGTGTGAGTTCAGGCTTATGCTTTATACTTTAAGCCTGACAAACAAATAATAGTGAGCTGAGATTTTTGAGTATTTGTTTACTAGGGTCTGATTCTTTAGCCAGCCTGTTGCTTTTTATGTTTTGTTGGGGTTTCTTAAGTCTTAGTATGCCTGTAAAATGGTAACGCAGCCACATAATAAATGCTTTGCATAAGGATTTTTAACATATTCTCATAAAAAGAAGGTTTTTACCTTGTTTCTGACTTTCAAATTAAATAGTCTGAACACTCAAGTCCTTGAGGACTTTTTTTATCCAACACTTGTTCAGACCTGTTTAAAAAAAAAAGAATTGCTGCATGGTATCACTGACAAGAACAACTGTAATTTGCGAGAATAAAGTAGCATAACTTAAAAATCACATCATCCCAAAGATCTAGCCCTCCAAAATACACTGTTGGTCTGCACCGTGTTTTTTCCCAGATCTGTGTTAGAACAGCAGGTCTGGTACACTGGTCAGCAGAAAGACCTCTTGCTTCCAGACAGAGTTTGGATACAATCCCCAGAGCTTTGCTAATGGCAGAAAATTCATGAACATGAATTCGGTACAGTTACATGTCCCCCGTCTACTTGCATGCTGTGTGCCTGCTGGTACAGCGCATGGTTGAAGGAAGGAGTAAATCTAGTTCTGTTCATGCAGGTGTTAGTGATGGGCTGGAGCCATTTGCAGTTTATGTAAGAAAGAAATAGGACGAAACGATGTAGGACTCATAGTGAAAGTGTCTTTTGGCAGAAGCTCAAGAGTTTTGGCCTCTTTGATCTTTTCTAAAAGGATGAACTTGTCAGGCAGAGAAGTCAATGTAGACCTTTCAGTTGTCCATGTCCATGTATTCAGGAAAGAAGGTGGTTCTCCTTAATGGTTACTACATGTTGGTCAGAGCAGAGCACAGCGCTTTGAGGTGTGACTCCTTCAGATTGCTCTCTTGGGAAGATACATTTGCGCAATGATGTGTTGCTGCAGAGTTGATGTTTGAACCTATCTGGTTGCTTATCCATGGCAATGAAGGCCCAGCAGCAGGAGGTGACTGGAGTAGAAGGTGCATGTGGTGTTGTAGTGTATAATTTGATTCCTGGCCTAGGCTGAAGCCTCTTCCAGAGTACCTTTTTTATTGCATTGTTAATAGCTATAAAACCTTTGGTTTTGCTGCCTCTGTGCACCCTGAGAGACCCGAGGGAACGCAGGGAATAAATACTAGCCTTTCATTAGGACATCAGGGGACTCTTGGTAGAAAGTATTCTTACCTTCCTATCCCAAATGGCAGAGGGTGAGTACTCGTGCACTCTACTAGAAGCAGTTATCACCATTTCAGATCTTCTGTTTTATTCTACTGTATGTGAGTGAAAAATTTTCTGACATGAGGGAAGGGTACAAGAAAGGAGCTACACAACCAGTTTGACCCAGTAGGCACAAGGTGGCAAATACTTAACACTAAACGCTTTTCTTAGTGTGAGTTTCAAAAGCTCTTAAACTGGAAAAAACCCTTTAAGGGTGACTTTATTACAAGTTATGCATCTCCCAACCTACCTTTCCAGTCTGCAAAATATGTTCCTTAGTAGGTGATATGCCTTTAGTTTTAAAAACAACAAAATTTGCCATCTTTTTAGTTTCTGTTATTTCCAATCCAATCCAATCAAATCCTAAGCAATGCAGCCCTTAAACTACCCACGGAGAAACCCAAATTAGTGTACCCCTCAGCACTCTGTTTAAGGGGTGAAGCACCGTAATATGCTAACCTCGCTGTTCGTGCTTGAAGGCAGTAGGATGTGTATTCTGTCCTTCATTTCTGAGTAAATACCTACTAATAGGATGGGATCTGTGCACGTCCTTTTCCATCCACTGTCCAGACCTTTCAGCTTTCCCTTGAGCGTGGCTCATTCCCATCTTTGCTTACCTGAATACAAATGTTGGCTAAATAATACATATATGCACAGCTTGCTGTGTCTATTCACTTTGATTACTGTGGACAGAGTCACCTACAATTTTATCTTCATTGGGTGCTTCTCCTGCTAGTTGGCTCATTGGCTCACCTAAAGCTACAGATGATCGTTTGAAGACTGCTGTGAAATCACTTCATGTGGAACTGCATGGCTTTTTTTTTTTGCTTTTTGCTTTTAATGGCACAACTGAGGTCATGTTTTACTAATAATAGGTAGCAGGGAGGGAGTAGTATGTATGTTATCTTCCCGTGAAGATCTTTATGTAATATGAATGGATGTATAATATCAAACCATGACCTTTTTTTCCTTTAACTCTCCAAAGGTCAGGGACAGAAATAGAATGTGTAGAAAGAAACTGTTTTGTCCTGAATGTCAGCTTTTCCTTGTTAGGTTAGCTATATTAATAAGTTGCTGCTGATAGCATTGAGTTTCCTCGAGGCAGGGAGGGGAGAGGAGGAAGTACCATGCTGTTTGCACTGCATGTACTTCTCTGGGCAGGCTCTCCCCAGTTTTGTAGCAATAGCATTTAGCCAGCTATGCTGCCCCTAATATACTTCTCAAGCCTCTCTTGTTTTACACTGAAATGGAAACTTCTGTCTGCGGTGTTAATTGGAGGGGTTTTGAAAACTCCTTGGGAAACAAATCTTCAGAAAGTAAAATGTTCTGAACTCTGCTCTGAGTAGAATGATTTTAATGTTAGTAATGCTTCTTAGTGAGAGGCAAAGTTGCCTAACTAACAAAAACAAGAGAAAGCTGAGGAGTATAATGCCTGAAGTACTATGTGGGAGCCATAGGGATGCTAACAGGTCCTTCTAGGGGACTGCTGCTTTTGGGAGCTTCATAACTATGCAGGTGTCTGATTCTGCTGTAGCACCCTCATGTGGCTTTAGCTCTAACAAACTGAAGGACTATAAGCCTCTAAATAATGCTGCACTTCTTATTTCCCCCTTGTTTAGGAGTGTGAGCATGTTTGACATGAGATCTGAAGAAGAAGCTGTGACTCAGCCTCATAGCAAAGCTCGCCATGAGAAACTGCAGAACATACACAACCAGCTGAAAGAGGATGAGACCAGATGGCAAGATGTGAGTAGGCAACATTGTCTGCAGTGCTGGCATTGAGGCCAGCTAGCTAGGCAAAAAAGTGCAACCTGCTAAATCTACAGTTGTTCTCTAGCACTAAAGTAATCAGGAGCTTTTTTCTTTTTTTTTTCCCAATGGATTGTTGCTAAAAGCATTGAAGTTCAAGGTACAAGGTCTTCTGGTGCCTCTGCCTGTGCACCATGTATTTTGCTTTTTAAATAAATGTAATTGAACTGTGATTAGGTAAAAATAGAAGCAGAACAGCTCCTAACTGCTAGCTCTCTGACTTTTATAATTAGTAAATGCCCAAAGTGACAAAATAGAAGACTAAGCAGGACAGTGAATAAATAGGTTGGACTTGGCTTTAATAAATTTGCATAGGTACAGAAGATGCTAACATTTTCCATCTTGTCCAAGCAAACAAATTACCCTTCAAGTTAGACACCCTGCTTGGGTTACAAGTCCTTTCCAAATCCTCTTCCCTCAATTTTTTTTTAAGCTGTCCTGGCATTTGGCATTGTCTTCAGCGCATTAGTAAGGACAGAAAAGCATGATTTGCAGGTAAATTAGTATCAGGAGTTTTAGTATCAATCCTGTTCATTCCTAAAGACTGATTTTAAATAAGGAATTTGGGGCATATTTTTTTAATTTAAAAAAACCCCAAAACCCACATCTCTTCAAGCAGCTAGTACAGTAATTTCCTATTATAAGGACAGCTACTGTGAAACATCTCAGAGAGGTTTTTGGTAGAAAATTCAAGAAAAAGTCCAAAAAAGAACAAAGTATATACAACTAAGAAATATCTTTTCGTAGTAGAACAACAAAGGATTTCAGCTGAGAGGTCTGTGTATGTGGGAAGCCATAATTTCCCAGCAGAGATAAGAATGAGTCCAAAGGCATTCAAGAGGTTTGAGAACTCTTTGCTGTTGAACGGAAAATCCTCTGAGCTAAAGTGCGTAAGTTTTCCAGGCCCTCCGCACCTTCTGCACTGAAGTAAAAGTTCTGAAGAGGTACTAAAAATGCCCTTACTGGAATGTCCTTGGCATTCAGAGGGCTTTATGGAGGTGACACCGCATTCATGGTCGGATATTTTTTATATGCCTATGCTGTAAATTTGCCAACAATTAACAGTTTCATGACTTTTTTTTTCATTGTTGTTATTCTAAAGCATCAGAGCTGGAAAAGATAAACATGTCTGGTTTTTAATTACAAAAAGAGGAGGAGGACTTATGTTATGAAATTTACTAATGAAAAACTAATTTCCAAACAATAGGCAATAGTGGGAGTAGCTGAATGAAGAAATGCTTTGGTACTTCAATGAGAATAATTAGTAACTGAGGAAAATGAAAGGCCGATGTTTCAAGAAGGGGATTATAGACTGATATATGTAGGTCATGTGAAGAAATACTTTAATGAGCATTCCCTTGAGTGTAATGTCAATAATTTGTGGTTTTAAGCTAAATTAAAAGTGACAAGGTTTGTTCCTGGTTTTAATAAAGTAAGTTATGCTTGCAGTACCTTCTGCTGTTTACCAATAAAAATGCAATTAAAATATTTTGAAAACCATGTAATTAATGAAACAGCCTTTGAATTGAGTATGTGTACAGAATCTCTGGTTTTTATTAAAACCAGAATTTGTTAGAGTGCATGAAATATAATCTGTATACTAATCTCCTGATGTTGTAAAGTTAATGGCAAATGTGCCCCTACAGTTTCCTAGGAAGTTATTTTTCTTTGCAGAAGTTCGGCAGAGGTTATTTTTCACATGTAAAATTTTGTTCCTTTACTGGGTGGCTGCAAAGAAATTTTACAACTTAGGAAACTTCTTTATTGTAATACTTTTACTGTGAAAAAGATCTTGTCTCTGTACCCTCCAGGGCTTGTGAATTCATAACCCAAGTAGGATGCAAGACATAGGTGCCCGTAACGGGTATCTCCTGTGACTCTCTGGTTTAGTGTCAGGCTGGTTTTGCAAGAAAGGTAGAGAGCCAGAATCAGTGGATCTTCTGGACAATTTTGGGCAGGCAGATTCCAAAAAGAGTAAGATCGTTACTTCAGTAAGGACATATCTATATAGCTGGATACAAACCATAGGCTTTTTGCTCTGTCATATGTCATGTCAACCAGGTGTGAGCCACTTTCATCCCTAACCTGTGTTGCTCAGATTTGGGTCCAAAATATTGGAGGGTGCCCATGAGGAAGAATTTAAGTTTGGATGCTGCACTGGATTTTTCTGTCAAAAAAAAAAAAAAAGCATGGGTCAACCGTGCTTGCATGTAGTTGGCTGAGGGCATGGGCAAAGTATGGGACTGTCAGCTCTCCAAGGCAGACTATCAGTGCGGCTGTAGTTCGTGGTGAAACAGTGTCCCTTCCTCCAATGAACTCCTGCCTCCCACACATCTGATTATTAAAATTCTTCACCAAACATAATTTTTCTACTTCATCTTCCTGGGGAATCAGGTTTTGTCTTTTATGTTGGCCCAAGTGAAAATGAGTGCCCTGACTAGTCCTTTTAGGCCAAATTTCCTGGTGTTATTACCTAGCATGCTTCTGCAACACTACAAAGCCAAAAAGAAAATACACCAGTGGAGCTATGAAATCCTTACTAGATCCTGCTGTTAGGAGGCAACAGTCAGGCAACATCTTCATTTTATGGTATAATCTTTTTTTCTCTTTAAAATAAACATTGCTGCCTGCAGGAACAAGCATTGCAAAGTGGCTGGCTGGGTTCATTGCTTTCTGTGGCCAGTTTTTAGCTATTTGCAACTCTGCAGGTGCCTTCCTTCTCTTGCAGGATCTGGCTCGGTGGAAGAGTCGTCGAAGGAGCGCTTCACAGGATTTAATAAAAAAAGAAGCTGAGAGAAAGAAAATGGAAAGGTTATTGTCTGGAGACGGAACAAATGAGCGCAGAAAAAGCATCAAAACCTACCGAGAAATTGTGGAAGAGAAGTACGTTGTTTTACTGAAGTGCAGTGGCATGTCTGAAAATGCTGTGTGCTCCATAGGTGATAGGTGACTGTGGGCAGCCATGCCTGCAGGCCTGGGGTGAGGGAGAGGGAAGGATGTTGATGGAGCAGAGGAAATAGGAGTGATTTCCAGCGTTACTTTTAATGCGATGGTCTCTCTTGTGTTGTCTCCCTTGCAGGGAAAGAAGAGAGCGGGAGCTTCATGAGGCATACAAGAATGCAAAGTCACAGGAGGAGGCTGAGAGCATCCTCCAGCAGTACATCGAAAGATTCACTATCAGTGAAGCTGTCCTTGAGCGTTTGCAGATGCCAAAAATTCTGGAAAGAAGCCATTCAGTGGAGCCAAATTCCCCACTGAAAGACCCAAATCCTCTGAGATATTTAAGGCAACAGTCACTGCCTGCTCCAAAATTCACTGCCACCATTGAAGCAACTATTGTTCCTACCGCTGAACTAGAGCCCAGCGGTTCGGCAGGCCGCACATCTCCCAGCAAAAGCGTTGTCTCCAAGGCTGTGCCTATGCTGACACCCAAGCCTTACTCACAACCCAAAAATACACAGGAAGTTTTAAAGAACTTTAAGGTAGGATACATTGCAGTCCCCAAAGTCAATCAGGGGGCAAAGAGATCCCGACTAAATCATTTGAATATATAAATGTTTAATGCAATTAAGTTGAAAATGGTTGCAGCATTCTGCTGTTACAAAACTCAGCTTCGTGCTCAGTGCTGCCCAGTCTAGTGGTCTTTTCTTGGTTACCAACCTTAGAAACTTGGCCTGTTCAGACTGGACTATTTGTGCTGGTCATTTTTCCTCAGGCTAAATTTGTTTGGGAAGAGACAGGGAAAGGGGGGCCTCTAAGAAAAAAGCAAGGCATTTTCTGAGAAAGAGGACAGGAAAGAGTATGTTGTCATGGTTTTTTGTTTTTAAACAAAAGGGAAGGGGCAGGGAGCGTGGAGGCCCTGACTTTTGTAGCAAAACCTGAACTGGCTTTTGTGTCAACGGTCTGATTTTTGCCATACCCAAACAAGTCTGTCCCGTTCGGCCAAGTCATAAGCCTTTGAAACACTGCAGTGTGCATGTATTCAGTGTAGAGAGCTCCTACTCCTTCAGAGTCAAGAGCCAGCTTGCCCAGAGATTGTCCTAAACATGCTTCTCACCAGGGATGAATGGGGAAAGCTGCTTCCCTGGTGTAAAGAGGGCTGTCCATGCAGGTTTAGGGAAACAGATTGGTACTGGGGCAGCGGTGTAACTGGGGATTGCTGGTGAGAGAGGGGGAGTGACTGCATTGGGTTGCAAGAACTGCGCAAAGATTATGGGAATAAGAGAAGTAAGAGAGCTTGGATGAAAGCAGGCCTGCCTGGAATAAGGAGCCAGCTATGAGATTTGTGGGGGAAGGGGATAGGAGAAGAGACTGAAAAGGGGATATGAAACCTGAGGAGTGTATCTTTGGACTGGGTGGTTGTGGAGAATGGGAGTAAGATACTGAACGAATGATGGAGAAAACAAAGAACTGGGATGTGTTAGAGAGAAGAGGCCAGAATAAGTCAGGTTTGAAGAAATCTGTTTCTCACAGTGCCTGTACCAAAGCTGGAGCTTCCTCAAGTCTCATTGTAGCCTTGTTGTAAGCAGTGCAAAGCCTACTGGCATAGGTGCCCCCAGACTGTAGAGTTCAGGTCCCCTTGTGTCTGTCTGATACTTTGCTAGTGGCATGCAGGGGTTCCAGCAGCATTGCTACCATGTATATTCAGGTGGTTTACTTTTTAAAAAATAAGTCAGCTTTGTATAGATAGTGAAAAAACGTGTTGTAATGTCTGTAATTTCTTGAAGTCTGTGCCAGCTCTTGTGGAAACCCCCCCGCCATGTTTCCTAGTTGAAATGTGAAACTGGTAATTCATATTTCTCCTATACCTCAGTTGGTATTCCCCTAGAGTTTACATTTTAGACATCAGTGAGTCATGGATCTGTTTTTTTTCTGATCCATACTACTTTTTTCCTCAGAGGACCAAGATATACATGTGTATCACCTTCACGTATGTGGGGAGAAACTAACGCACAGATGCTTCTACCCCCCACCAACCACCACTAAAAGTCTGTCTAGATCTTGTTCGCTTGTTGTGGAAAAATGTGATTTGTCTCAGTAGGAATCATTCCCTAGCACATGTAGCTGTAGCATTATTTTCCCTTGAAACACCAGTCTGTCGATGATTCTCGGCTCTGGTGACAATCTGTTGACTTGCTCCAGATCATAAGGAAAGAAGTATGTTTGTTTAACTCTGCAGCTAGGGCATCTGTCCTGATCATTCAAACATTTGGTTTTCCTCCCTAACATAAATAGAGAAATGTCTTAGTCTAAACAGAGATACTAAAATGGATGGTGTGGCCTGCCAGTGTTTTCTTGGCTTTTTTATTTCTGAGATCTTTCATGACCTGCTTCTCTAGTAGATAATGGAGCGCACAGTCCCAGAAGACTTGGGTCTTAGTCCCTCACACTTGCATTTGGAAACAAACCCTAAGAGTGGTACTCTGTTGGGTGGATGATGGCAGTGAGGAAAGGGAGGAACCTGTTAATCTGAAAATCAGTCAGAAGGGGTGAAACCGCTTGCGGAGCCAGGCTGTTTCTCATCTGCGTGGGAGCTGATTGCGCTAGGTGCTAACTGCCTTCACCTCCCCGCATGTCTGTCAGCTAGCTGAGGATGCCCAGCACCTCGGAGATGGCCCCTTAGTTAATCACCCTCAGACAGAGAACAGACCTCTGGATGCGTGTATACAAGAAGTCAAGGGAGGAGTTTGCCCTCGGCTTAGCACTGATGGCGTATACTGAGTTGGAGTGCCGCTCTTGAGGTATCCAACCTGTTTACTCAAGAAGTAAAGTACTGAAGATAAGTAAATGGTGAAATAAGGAGTGGGGCAGGGAGGATGAGATGGGAAGAACTTTGTTTTCTTAAACTGTTTCAGTTCGATAAAGCAGTTTTGACACTTGTTGCATCAGTTTTCAATAACAGTGAAATAAGTGAAAAGTTCCCATGGAATGGCTTACCTTTGAGCTTGTTTTTACCTGTGTTTTTTGTTTATGCAGTACCTGTGGAGAAACCTGAAATGACTAATCACCATATATATCCCAGATAGCTTCTCTAAGAAATCACTGATCTATGCCATTATTCCCCCAAAGTCCAATGATTAGCGCAGAAGATCCTGTCCATATTTACTCCCCCACCTTTGTGTTGTCTCGCATGATGACTGTTTTGCAAGGAAGGATCTCTGTGCACAGAGCAGCAAAGCCCTCCTTCAGATCTTTAAAACTCACCCCTGCTGACAAGCCTATAAACATCTGTGCTGTAGCAAGGCAGGAGCAATATGGTGTTACTGATACCTGGTCCTCTCCTGGTCTCTCTCCAGCTGGGCCCTCTTATGGTGAATGGCCTGTGAGTTCTTTGTAGCAAGACATTTTTCATGTATACCGTGGCTTCTACAAACAGCCCTCCAAATTGAAAGAAGTCTTTACATGCCACCTCCATTCAGAACATAATTACGAAGTATTAAAGTCTCGAGAGGAAGCTGTATCAGTGCAGAGAAAGAAGCTAGAGCTTATTTTGTATTTTCTTCTTTGCTTAAGAGTTCCTTAGTGGGAATATATGCCCACCAAGGAGCTAGCTTGACTCTGAGAAAAAGTAGTTAAACTGTTTCTGTGCTATCCTTTTCATGGAGACTGCATAAAATAATTTTCTGGGAAAGCAGCTATTTATTTTATCGCCTCATGGAGAAGGTGGAATGCTCAGTTTTATTTATTCCCTGTTATGAACAGTAAAGAAACAAGTGGATGAACTCTGCTGCTCCTGACCCTTCAAAGTTCACATGACAGTGCTTCAGAAAGCACGGTCTACTAATACTGTGGTGAGGTCGTCAAGGTACATAGCAGTTCACCAGCGTAATTAGTCCTGGAGAACCTGCTTGCCTCTTGCATGAGGCAATGCAAAACCCAGCAGCTTTGGTCTAAATTTAACATAAGTCTTTGTTGTTCTTTTAAAATCCATTGATCTGTGATGCACACAAAGGGTGTCTGTATATTACTGGGAGAATGAAATGTGGGAAACCAGGGAATCCAGAAAAATTATTACCTTCTGTCTGTATTTTGTTTACGACCCCCCTGGAATAGGGTTTTCTTCTATCTTGGCCCGTTGAATGAAATGCTTGGCTCTGTCCTTCACCGATGGCACAGACTGTGTTAACAATTGTAATATCATGTTGAAGTCCTAATTTCCTAAATTCCTTTGGATGCTAATTGCCTCAGCATATTTATTTAACTGTATTCTGCAGGTAGATGGAAAAGTCAGCATGAATGGAGAAAATTTCAACGGCGTGGAAGAGAAGGATAAAGAGTGTACAACAGTAATACTTACTCCTTCGCCAAGCAGATCTCTGAAATTTGACGGAGTAGCCAGAGGGGACAGGCCCCCGGTAGAGTTGAAGAAGGACCCCACAAGTGTTGAGCTCAGTTTACAGAGGCCTGCCACTCAGAGTGTGCACAAAGAGCCAACAGTAAGACCAACACGAACAAACCAGCCTTGCTTTCTCTGCCAATTTTCTGTCTCATAACATATTTAATCACTAACTAATGAAACCCGAGTGCTTATGTTTGCTTTATTTCAAGAGGGTGTGCCCGGACCAGGAGAAAAAAACTCAAAATCCTTTGTAAATTAAAGGCTTCTTCCTTTGGTATGTGGGTAGAGAAATGGGAGGGAAAGATTCAAAAAACTTTTTGCAGCCAGCGTCTCTTTTTTTGGATGTCATGTAGCTGATAAGCATGCTTTAAATGTGCTGGGCCAGGGAGAAATCAACTCTGTGTCCCAGCTATTGTGCAGATTTATTCAGCGCTTCTCCTGATGTTAGCTGATTAGATCAGCAACATAATTGGACTGTGCAAGCCATTATAATTAGTCTCAGTTTTCAGTTTTCAAAGAAGAGGAGGTGGATGTGCTGGCCATTTTGAGCATTCAGCTTTCATTCCCCTCTCAGAAATATTAGAAAAGGGGATGAGCTATTGAAATACTCGGAGGGGCCAACGTGCTTCTTAACTGTCTTATCCAAAGAAACAAATTACTTTTACCTTTTCATCTTTCTCGCTCCCTCTTCCCCAGACAAAATGGCAGGAATAAAACTAGAGAACAACAGGAATCTAGATGCTACAAAACTGTAATAAAAGTAGATAGTAAAAACAAAACAAGAAATAAGGACCGGACTGCAAATAAAGCATGTAAAAGGGTTGCAAACAAGTGGCAGGAGAGGGAATTCTCGCCATTCTTTTCTGTGTAACAACAAAGAGAAGCGGAGATGTGGTGAGAGTTGGAGTATGATAATTTTTTGCTTTCATCTCAGATTTCATCCAAGCGTTGGCCAGAAAAGTAGATAGTAAAAACAAAACAAGAAATAAGGACCGGACTGCAAATAAAGCATGTAAAAGGGTTGCAAACAAGTGGCAGGAGAGGGAATTCTCGCCATTCTTTTCTGTGTAACAACAAAGAGAAGCGGAGATGTGGTGAGAGTTGGAGTATGATAATTTTTTGCTTTCATCTCAGATTTCATCCAAGCGTTGGCCAGATGGATAACAGGGAGAGGTCAGGGATCTGTCCTGGGGAGTGATGGTTCATTCATGCCAAAGGGCTTGTGTCTTATCTTACTCCCCTGCTTCATGCCAGTCTCTGGCCATGGACAACCAAGTCATGGAGCCTGCAGCAAGCATGGGAGCTGGGATGTGCTGTGAGCACAGACTTGATCCTATCAGAGGGAACTGGTATAGAGTCAAAAGTGATGATTTGCAGGAAAGCAGGCAGGGATGGCAGAGCAGAGGCTGCTCCTGTCAGAATGAATTGGCTGTAAGGGAAAAGCCAGGTAAGCACTGTGTCTGATATGGCAGAGCTGGTAATGGGAATGTTTGGAGCCTCAGCTTGCTATAGATTAGAAGCACGATGGTGATCAGAAAAGTCGCTGAATGAAAGCGTTCCTGACTCCTTTTTTAGGATTTCCAGACCAGTATAGCTGTGGAAGAGTTGAGAGGAAATTCAGCAACAGAAGCCGCTGTTAGGGCTTGGATGTGTTTGTACCTGTTTGATGCCCTCTCATCCTTCCCTTTCTACAGCTTTGAGGATGATGTGGCCAGCCGAACGCAGATTTTTCTGTGTCCGGTTTCTGCTTCCGGTGTCTTAGTTCTCGTGGTGATGTTGGCAAAGGAGGCAGAAGAGTCTGAATTCTCAGATTCCTTGTAACTGACATTTGCAGAATACCTCCTGGTTTGTAAGCTTGAGTGCACTTAATGATGAAGCCTTCTAGAGAGAATGAGCTCCACCCAAATGGAGCTATTGACAGAGTTTCTCTGCTCTAACTAAGGATTTTATACAGCTAGCTTCACAATTTCATCAATAATGTGGCTGGGTAGTGCAAATCATTATAATTACTCCTGGCGCTTCAGCTTCAAGCAAAGATATGTGTGTCAAGCATGTCAAGGGCAGAGCAAGGAGAGGAGACTGCTTTGAGGGGGTCTTACACGGGGAAGCAAGTGGAATGCACTGAGTGTGACGGAGGG